ACAGCACACACACAACACACACACAGACACACAACATACACACGACATACACAACACATAAATATACACACCATGATTGGCGGTCGCGGCCTCGCGCGCAGCGTCGAGGCGGAGAAAAGGTAAACACACACAGACATATACAAACACACGCAAAACCACAACCACAACCACGAATACAAGCACAAGCACAAACACCATCACCGAGACAACCAGGATTACGAGCACGAACGCCAACACAAACACACACACACACACAAACAAACAAAACCAACACTTTAACACAAATACAAACACGAACACCAGCACATGCACAAGCACAAGCACAGGCACAAGCACAAGCACGGACACAATCAGAAACACCCACACACACACACAAACACACAAACTAACTAACTAACTAACTAACTAACTAACTAACACGTTCATTCACACACACACGCACACATACGAGCACCTCACCTCGAGCGGCGCGACGACTGAGACGCCAAGCACGACGAACGCGTCAGCAGGCCGCCCTCTTTCTCCTCCTCCTCCTCCTCCTCCAGTCCTTTTCCGTATAAAGAACTCCTCCATGTCGCACCCTGAGGCCAGTCGACAGGGCGGGCCGGGCGGCATGAGACTTCCTCACAAGTTATCATCCTGAAGTTTGAACATAAAAACAGCTTCACGGATGGAGGGTCGCCCGCGTTCAAAATGTGGCTCTCGCCTCAGTTCCGCCAACACCCGTTTACACATTTGCAAGCGTTTCACGCGTAGAGGACGGTTCCATTTCAAAATGTGGCTCACGCTATAGCGCCGCGCAAATGTGTTTTTAACATTTCCAAAACCTTCAGGAAAAGAGGGCAGTTCTTTCTGAAAGTGTGGCTCTCGCTTCAGCGCCGCGCACATTCTTGTAGCAGTTTCAAGGAGCACCAAACAAGGTGTTTTGGCACAGGGCCAGAATGTCGGGGCGCAACAGTCCTGTTGATTCGCGGCGTTGAAGTCCCAGGAAGGGTGCTGACGATTCGGGGTCGTCAAGACACAACTATAACAGTGATTCGCGGCGCTGAATTCCCATAAACACTGCTCTGGCACAGTTCCGGATTTTCAAGCAGCTGTGGGAAAATGAACCCCTGCAGGCGCCTGTGAAGAGGCAACTTGGAGGGAGGGTTGATTGCATCATCGTTGGTGAATACTGGGTTCAAGCTGGTCCTCCTCCTCCTCCTCCTGCTCCTCCTCCTCATCCCCCTTCTCCTCCTCCTCCTCCTCCTCCTACTCTTCCCCCCCTGCCCCCCTTCCGGAGGGGTGGACCAGCCGCCTCCTCCTTCCCCCTCCTCCTCCCCCTCCTCCTCCTACTCCTCCTCCTCCGCCTCCTCCTCCTCCTCCCTCCCTGCCCCCATTTCGGAGGGGCGGACCAGCCTCCTCCAACTCCCCCTCCTCCTCTCCTCCTCCCTGCTCCCCCTCCTCCTCCCCCTCCACCTCCTCCTCCTCCTCCTCCCCTCCTCCCCCTCCATCCCTCCCTCCCTCCTCCCCCTCCCCCCTTCCGGAGGGGCGGACCAGCTCGGGAAGGGGGGGGGGGGCGACCATCGACCTGGAATCGGCGCCACGACATCGCCGGCAGATCGGCGGCGGGCCCCCGAGGACAACCTCGAGGGGCCCCGAGCGGGCTGGTGCTCGCGGTCCCCTGCCAGTGACGACTTGGAGCCCCGAACCGGTGCGGTGACACACCGTGCGGCGACCTCGACATCCCCCGAAGACCTCACCGCACGGTCCGTCGCCGCACGCTTCTGGGGCCCCGGAGGCCCCTGTCGCCCGAGGACAACCTCGAGGGGTTCCCAGGCGGGGTGGAGCTCGCGGTCCCCTGCCACTGACGAATGTAAGGCATCGAGCTCTGTATACACTGGCGCTTCTTCCGGCCCTGCATCGGAAATTGCACTGGAGAGCGGATTCTGGTGTATACGGGACCCTGGTGTATACATTTGTCGTTGCTTCCACGGGACATCGGGGAAAAAAGTATACACCACACCACCCCAGCGTCGTCCTCGATCCTCAAAAAAGTCCTGGGATTGCCACTGGAAATGTATATGCTCGCGGTCCCCTGCCAGTGACGACTTGGAGCCCCGAAACGGTGCGGTGACACACCGTGCGGCGACCTCGAAATCCCCCAAGACCTCACCGCACGGTCCGTCACCGCACGCTTTTGGGACCCCGGAGGCCCCTGTCGCCCGAGACGCCCTCGGAGAACGACCCGAGTCCCAAAACCATGCGATGTCCCCGGATCCCCACCGACTCACCGCACGGTGCGGTCACCGCCCTGCTTGGGAGCCCCCGAGGCGAATGGGCGACTGGAGGTCAAGGCATCTCCTCCAAAAGCCTACAGGGCAGTTTCTAATGCATAAGATCTTTTAAATATAGGATGTTTCAATACATGACCAATGTATGAATAAATGTGTGCATGAACTCATCGTTGTTTTTAATACTAGATCCCTGCATGTTTAATACATGGTCCGCACGCGGAGCATGTATTAAAACCGGCGGCGCTATAGGGAGGCCCCCCCTTAAATTGGCTCTTGGCTCCCCCCCCTCCCTCTCCCGATCCTCCTCCAGGGCCTGCCGGGCCCCACGACGGCGGTGGCGGCGACGGTCGCCCTCGCGGTCGTCGTCGTCGTCGTCGTCGTCGTCGTCGTCGTCGTCGTCGTCGTCGCCGCCGCCATCGTCAGCGTCGTCGTCGTCGTCGTCGTCGTCGTCGTCGTCGTCGTCGTCGTCGTCCTAGTCCTCCTCGTCCTTGAGATAAGGAGGATAAGGAGAGGGAGAACGACGAAGAGGACGATGAGGACCGATCCCCGAAATTGGGGGTCCACAAAGAGAAGTGCGGTGACAGACCGGGTGATGACTTCGAGATCCCAAGAGACCTCACCGAACGGTCCGTCACTACAATTACCAGCCCGGAACAGATCCCTATCCCTATGCTGGGCACCTTCTCATCACGATGCCAATCTTAGGGATTCCCCTATTTTTTGAGGGCGAATCCCTAAGATTGTCATCGCCTTTTGGCGTGTCAATCTTAGGGATAGAGATACGTTCGAGGCTGGTAATGTAAGGAGACGCCCTCGGAGAACGACCCGAGCCTCAAAGCCATGCGGTCGCCCCGAATCGCCACCGACTTTTACTACGCGGTGCGGTCACCGCCGCTCCGTTTGGACGCCCCCGACCCGAGCGGATCGCATCAGGAACGGACCAGGTCGCCAAGGGACGGCAACGAGTCACATCAGAATCGGATCGCCGCGCACGGCTCCTGGCTGCCCCCGCCGAGGCCCATGAATCTGGGGAGACCAGAAAGGTACAGTCGGGGCGTTGACCTAAGGAACCCTAAATAAGGAACGAGGCCCCTTTTTTCCATTAGTTAGACTTCGATTTCCTGTCGGAAACGTAAGGGGAACCTGAGGCAAGCTGTGAAACACTTAAGAAACGCGGAGCCCCTCCCCAACGAAAAGGGTTCCTTCTTCAGGGCCCCGACTGTACCGATACCGTTGCTCCCTGGACCTCTCCTTGGGTGCGTCCTGACCTGCACTCCAGGGCGGACCCAGCGGTGGAGACGAGGGCCTCCCAGAAGCCCCCACACAGGGGGGAAAAACGAGGCACGGGGCAGCGGCATCGGCACTGACTGCCCACCAGGCCACCCCAACCCCACCCGAAGACCCACGTTTCGGGTTGGGTGGGGGGGGGGCACGGCTTCCGCACATGTTTTCTCAACGTTGTTCCCGACGCCCCCCCCCTCGGAATGGACTTAAGTCGGGCGTGTCCCCCTACAGGGGGATTTTGGGCGAAAAATGGAAAATACCAGAAAAAAATACCCCACAGATATTCAAAAATAGTCAAAAAAAAAAAAACGTTCCCATACTATATTTGGACTATTTTTGAATATTCCCCCTGTAGAGGGACAGGCCCGACTTAAGAATGGAGGGCAAATTGGGGCCTTCGGGTTGGGTTGGGGTGGCCGGGTGGGTGGTGCGGTACCGTCTCCTCCTCTGAGATCTCTGGCCTCTTGGAGGCCTCATAGGAGGCATCGTAGGAGGCCTCTTAGGGGCATCATATAAAGAGGCCTCTGAGAGGCCTCGTCGGGACCTCTTAGAGGCCTCGCAGAGGCCTCGTAGAGGCCTCTGAGAGGCATCGTTGAGGCCTCTTAGAGGCCTCGTGGAGGCCTCGTAGAGGCCTCGCAGAGGCCTCGTAGAGGCCTCGCAGAGGCCTCGCAGAGGCCCTCGCAGAGCCCTCGCAGAGGCCTCGCAGAGGCCTCGCAGAGGCCCTCGCAGAGGCCCCGCGGCCCTGGGGCCGGCGACTCGGACCGCGGGCGGCGGCGCTGCTCTGGCGCACACGGCGCCCGACGCCGGGCGGGCGCCGCGCGGCGGGCCTCGCCGCGGCGGCCTCGTACTCGCGGACCATGGCCTCGAGCCGCCAGCCCTCGCCGCAGGCGCCCTCGAGGGCGCCATGGCCGCCTGGGGCGCGCGGCGCGGCGGGGGCCCCGCGGGGCGGCGGAGAGGGCGCAGAGGCCAGGACGTCCGGCGGCGTGGCTTTTGTCCAGTGTGGGCGTGGTCTTTGTCTCGCCATCGCTCGGACGTCCATTCCCTGTGTTTTTGTATCGGTTTCGTGCGTGGCTTTTTCGCCGAATGATCAAGGATGCTCCTCGATGGTCCTCGCCAAAGGAAAAATGCACACGTCCGAGCGATGGCAAGTTGTACGGCCAGAGCCAGGCCAGAAGAATTTGACGAACGAACAACACACACCCACACCCATAGGGAGGTCGTTGGGAGGAGGGCTGGCTATGGGTCTGGGTGCGGGTTGTCGGACCCTGGGGAACGCTCCCGTTCGAGCGGGAACCCCCATCCGACAACACGCACCCACAGCCCTCTCAGATGCCAGTATGGGTACGGGTGTGTGTGTGTTGTTGGCTCGTCAAAGAGCACCCTTCAGGAACAGGCGCCCCTCCGCTGGCCAAGCTGAAGAGCATCCGCGGGCACCCTCCCCCAGGAGGCGCCAGAACACCCAGGAAGCACGCAGAATATCAGGGTACCCTCCACGAAACCGACCTCGATCATAGACCTCGGTCCGACCGCGTGGGGGCGTGTTTTGTACAGGGGGGGTCCGGCAACCCGGCGCCGACCTGCATAGTCTGATCGGGCTCCGCCTTCGTCTCTTCTCTCGTCTCTGGCGCTTTCGCTGCGTGTCTGTACACTCGGGGCGTTGACCGAAGGAACCCTAAATAAGGAACGAGGCCCCTTTCTCCCATAAGTTAAACTTCGATTTCCCATCGAAAACATAAGGAAAACCTGAGGCAAGCTGTGAAACACTTAAGGAACGCGGAGCCCCTCCCCAACTAAAAGGGTTCCTTCTTCAGGGCCCCGACTGTTGTCGCTTCCGGTGCAGCCCACCCGTCGCCTGACAGTCTCGCACACCCTGGCGCCCGCAGACTTGAAACATTTTTTTTACGGGGAGGCAGCCGCCTCCCAGGGAAAGATGCTCCCCCCCGAGGGGAACACCTCTCCTTGGGGGACGCCTGCCCCTCAGTTCTCTTGCCTCCCAGACGCCTAGATCTTACCTGTATCGCGGCTTGCTCGAAGAGGGCCCCGAAGCAGCCCAAGATCGACCCAAGACGGCCCAGGAAACACTCCAGACGGCTTCAGAAACCCCCCAAAATGCCCCAAAAGATCTTCAATTTGGACGCCCGAAATGGGTACGGAAAGAATGGGTACAATGCCCAACAACAACTGTTGTCCCAAACCAACAGCGGCCGCTGTTGGGCGAGCGGCCTTCTGTCTCGAATGGACACAGGCCGCGGCGGCGTGGACAGCGAATCCTGTTCAAAATGAACAGGAATTGCTGTTGGACCCATTTCGGGCGTCCAGATCCAAGAGGAGCGCCAAGAGGGCCCCAAGAGGCGACAGATATTGGTGCTCATCTACTTGTCCTGCCTCTCGCGTCCTCGCCTCTTCAAGCTTCCGACGCTCCAAGACAGCCCAGAAGACCACAATATCGCACCGAGAGTCGGGCTGGGCGAAAGGAGGGTATAGCAAAAGGGGGGGTTGAGAATCAGCTCACGTAGCTGATTTTCCCGGCGCCTCCCGGCGCCGGAGGCGGCCATGTATCGAGGAATGGGCCCCTCGGTGGGGCCGAAACCAGCTGCACGCAGCAGATTTCGTACCCCCCCCCTTCCCAATCCCCCTTTCGTCCGGCCCGAGAGAGGCTGGTGAGAGCGCCCCACAACATCCCAAGACGGTCCAAGACGGACCAAAGACGGCCCAAGAGGCCCCGCACACCACGAGGGCCACAAAGCCCACCGACAGGGAGCGAACACCAGCCGACACGTGAGCCTTCCATCACAAGAGGCCCCCAAGGAGGCCCCAAGAGTTATGTTGCTCCCATCCTACTTAAGGACCACATCCCAGAAATAATTTCGAGCACCCAGAAAAGTGTCGAAAGAGTGTCGAAACAGTGTCAAAACAGTGTCGGGCGAGTGTCTCCCAGGATCCGACACGTGAAAACCCTTGAGTTTCGGTACTTTCCGTGGCCGCTCGAAATTCTTCTTGGTGATCAAAGCTAAAGTAGGTTGGAGCATCATAACCCAAGAGGCGCCCAGGAAGCGAAATGGAGAGCCTCACGAGCCCCAGAGAGCTTGAACAATTGTCGTCGTTGCCGTCGCCGTCGCCGTCGCCGTCGCCGCCACTGCCGCCGCCGTCGCCGCCGCCGCCGTCGCGTCGTCGCCGCCGTCGTCGTCGTCGTCGTCGCCGTCGTCGTCGCCGTCGTCGTCGCCGTCGCCGTCGTCGCCGCCGCCATCGCGTCGTCGTCGTCGCCGTCGTCGTCGTCGTCGCCGTCGCCGCCGCCGCCGTCGTCGTCGTCGCTGTCGTCGTCGTCGTCGTCGTCGTCGCCGCCGTCGCCGTCGCCGTGCCCCAGTAGGGGTCGGCGACGCCGGCCGCGAGGCCCTCGCGCGGTGCAGTCGCATGTCGGGCCTGTCCCTCTACAGGGGGGATATTCAGAAATGGTCAAAACATAGTCTGGGGACTTTCTTTGATCATTTCTGAGCATGCTGGGGGTATTTTTGTTGGTATGTTCGGCATGTTCGTCCATATGTTTTGATATGTTTCTGGCATTTGCTTGGCATGTTCGGCATTTTCGGCAATTTTGGGGGTATTTGTTGTGCACTGGTTTGACCATTGTTTGACCCTTTCCGTCCAAAAAATCTGCCTGTAGGAGGGCACGCCCGACTTCAGGGAACAGAACATAGTCTGGGGTCTATTGTTTGACCATGTTTGAGCATCTTTGGGGGCATTTTTGAGTTTTTATATAAAACAGCCGTCCAAAAAATCGGACTGCAGGAGGGCACGCCCGACTCCAGGGAACGCCCGAGTATTTGTTGACCATGGTTGAGCATATGTGGGGGCATTCATACATATAATGTGTATAAATACATCCAAAAACAACAACAACCACAACAACAACAACAACAACAACAACAACAACAACACAAAAAACGTCAAAAACATCGGCCTTCGGGAGGGCACGCCCGACTTCAGGGAGCGCCCGAGTATTTGTTGACCATGGTTGAGCATATTTGGGGGCATTTATATATAATGTGTATAAATACATCCAAAACAACAACAACAACAACAACAACAACAACAACAACACAACAAAACTTCCAAAAAATCGGCCTGCAGGAGGGCATGCCCGACTCCAGGGAACGCCCGAGTATGGTTTGACCATGATTGAGCATATTTGGGGACATTCATTTATATGTATATATATGTATATATAATGTGTAAATATACATCCAACAACAACAACAACAACAACACAAAAAAAACACGTCAGACAAATCAGCCTGCAGGAGGGCACGCCCGACTTCAGGGAACGACCGAGTAGTTGTTTGGCCATGGTTGAGCATATTTGGGGGCATTGTTATATATATAGAGTGTGTATATATACATCCAAAAACAACAACAACAACAACAACAACAGCAGCAACAACAACAACAGCAACAACAACAAAACATCACAAAATTCGGCCTGCAGGAGGGCACGCCCGACTTCAGGGAACGCCCGAGTATGTTTTGACCATGGTTGAGCATATTTGGGGGCATTTATATATAATGTGTACAAAAACCTCAAAAACAATCGGCCTGCAGGAGGGCACGCCCGACTTCAGGGAACGCCCGAGTATGTTTTGACCATGGTTGAGCATATTTGGGGGCATTTATATAATGTGTATATATGTATGCGAAAAACAACAACAATAACAACAACAACAACAACAACAACAACAACAACAACATCATCATCATCATCATCATCATCATCATCATCATCATCATCATCATCATCATCATCATCATCAACAACAACAACAACAACAACAACAACAACAACAACAACAACAACAACAACAACAACAACAACAACAACAACAACAATAACAACAACAACAACAACATCAACAACAACAACAACAAAACGTGAAAAAAACGGCCTGCAGGAGGACACGCCCGACTTCCGGGAAGGAGCCACGCGGCGGGCCTCGGGGGCCACGGGCGGGCTTTCTGGCCCGGATGGCCGAGGGAGCGCCGCGACGGCGGGGCGGGCCTCTCGCTTCTGGGAGGAAGAAGAGGACGAAGAAGAAGAAGAAGGAGAAGGAGAAGAAGAAGAAGAGGAGGAAGAAGAGGAAGAGGAAGAAGGAGAAGAAGAAGAGGAAGAGGAAGAGGAAGAACAATAATAGAGGAAGAAGAGGAAGAATATGAGGAAGGAGGAGGAGAAGAAGCAGAAGAAGAAGAAGGAGGAGAAGAAGAGGAAGAGGAAGAATAAGAAGAAGAGGAATAATAATAATCATAATAAGAAGAGAAAGAAGAGGATAAGGAAGAAGAGGAAGAAGAAGAGGAAGAAGAAGAAGAAGACGAACAACAAGAGGAAGAAGGAGGAGGAGGAGAAGAAACGCCACCCACAGAAACTGCTTGCGCTCAGCGCGGGTTTCTCGGATCTGCGCTGGGACCCCCCTCCCAGCCGCGCGGAGCGCGCCAGGGGCGGCGCCGGAGGCGCCGACGGGGGGGGCCTAGCGCGGATCCAAAAGATCCGCGCGGAGCGCCAAAAGTTTGACGTTTATGGTGTTGTGTTTTTCTTCTTCAGATTTCAGCGTCTTGGCTGCAGACGCCACTTTGGCGCTGGGACGGTACAGTGGAGGCCAGTCCACAAGAAACCTTCCACAAGAAACCCAACCCTGAGACCCCAGGACGTCCGTCGGTTTTCCGCGTGGGAACGGCGCGCTTTCCACAGCAAAACCATCGAAACCCAAGACACCCAGGGCACCCTGGAGGCAAGCAGGGCGTGTCTTGGCATGGGCCGCCACTGTAGCCAGTGGCGGCGGCGGCGGCTGCGGCAACGGTCCCAGACCCCCGACGTCATGCTTTGTTCATGACGTCGACACCCCAGAAGCCTCGACCCATCCCCCAGGACCAGTGTTCCAGCCCGAGCCATTCTCACGGCCCCGAGGCCCGGCAAGGGCCCCCCCAAGGGCCGAAACGAGCGCAAAAAAAGTCCCGTCGTGATTTTTGCATGACTCTCGGGACGGGCGAAAGGGGGGGATAGCAAAAGGAGGGGTTCAGAATCAGCTCACGTAGTAGCTGATTTTCCCGGCGCCCTCCCGGCGCCCATGCATCGAGGCATGGGCCCGGCGGCGGGGCCGAAACCAGATGCATGCGGCAGATCTCGTACCCCCCCCCCCTTTCCCAATCTCCCCCCCTTCGTCCGGCCCGAGAGAGGCTGGTGGAAGCGCCCCATCACAACCCAAGACGGTCCAAGACGGACCGCAAAGACGGCCCGAAAGGGCCCCGCACACCACGAGGGCCACAGAGCCCCCCCGAGACTCGAGGAGGTCTGGGGCGGCGGCAGCGGTGCTCGCGAGAGAGAGACATCGGGCGGCGGGGGGGGGGGGGGGGGCAAGCCTCCGAGGGGAGCCACGGCGCACAGGCAGAAGAGGCACCTCCGCGTGCGCGCTCGCCGCCGCCGCGGCGGCACGTCGCTGCTCCCGAGGGAAAGGAGACGCAGAGATCGGCCAACAAAAACAAATCGTCCTCCTCCTCCTCTTCCTGCTCCTCCTCCTCCTCCTCCTGCTCCTCCTCCTCCTCTGCCTCCTGCTCCTGCTCCTGCTCCTCCTCCTCCGCCTCCTGCTGTTCCTCCTGCTCCTCCTCCTGCTCCTCCTGCTCCTCCTCGTGCTCCTCATCCTCCTCCTTCTCCTCCTCCTCCTCCTCCAACTCTTCCTCCTCCTCCTCCTCTCCTCCTCCTCCTCCTCCCTCTCCTCCTCCTCCCTCCTCCTCCTCCGCCTCCTCCTCCTCCTCCTTCCTACTACTCCTCCTCCTCCTCCTCCTCCTCCTCCTCCTCCTCCTCCTCCTCCTCCTCCTCCTCCCGACCTCGTCCCGACCTGCAGTGACTATCTTCGAGAAAGAGAAGGCCCTCTCAGGGCTTCTCAGAAGCCGTCCTCGCGGGCGGCTTCAGGGAGGTGTTATGTGTCTTCGGGGAAGGCTTGGGGAACTTCTCAGGAGGCCGGGGGACTTCCGAGCCCTCTGAGAAGGCCCGCCCTTCTCACTTCCCCCGGGCGCGCCGACGAAGAGAGTTGGAAGCGAAAGGGTGGCGCCGATCCACTCCGCCAGACAACGACGCAACAAACCTTCGAGCCTCCGTTCGATCTCCACCCGAACAATCGGTCGCCACAAGTGTTATGTATGTGGCAATGAGTGCCCCTGAAGCACACACACACACACATCAAATCCGAGAAGATGGGATTCCCCACTATACATCTATGTCCACACGGCTTGCACCCTAGAGTTGTTGCGTATAGCGTGTCCATGCTGTCAGTTTGTATGGCCGTGCGTCGCCGCGCGAAGGTCAAATCCACAGTGTGTGCACACAATGTTGGATGTGACTGCAATTCCGCCAAAATGGCCCAACATTGCCTCAAGGGGCACCCCACTGCCCGACCCCAAAAAAGCCTCAAGAGGCGCAAAGGAGCCCCAAAAGGCTGCCAAGACAACACAGAGAAGGCAAGGAACCATATGAAATGTTTGGGAGCTTGATGCTTGTTGCGCAGCATGGGCCCCTCGGCTCAAGATAGCTAGAAGAGGGCGTCGCAAGTGCCAACGAATGAAAAAGACCCCAATCAGGGCCCCAAGGAGCCCACTCTGGCATTCCAGGACAGCAAAAAGAAGAAGATCCCTCAAGGGACCCAGGACAGCTCAAGAGGGCTTCGGAGTGGCCCGAGAGAGCTCGGGGAGGCCCCCAAAACAGCCCAAAAAGACACTCCGGGCGGCCGAGAGGGACCCGCGATGGCCCAAGACGGGACCAAGACGGCCCAAGAGGGTCCCAAGAGGGCCCTCAGACACCCCCAAGACGGCCCGAGTAGGCTCAATCGGCGGTGAACAGCCCTCCCTTTAGTAAACCTCCCCTTAGCAAAAGCGGCCCAGCACCGAAACCGACGGACCTGGATCCGCAAAAATGACGGCCGCGACGCCCTTTCGAGAACCGAAAACGAGAAATTCCGGAATCGACATGTCAGGGCAGGAGGCCTATCAACCTCCGACCCAACGAGAGGCCATCCTGAATGCCAGAGCCAACTGGGTTGGTGCCTGGGAGGAGTCTGGTCGGGCGCAGGCGGCCACGGGGCTCCCATTGTGGGACGCAACGCAGCACGAGCTGGCCCCGACGAGGCCTTGCCACATAAAGAGCATTGTGCAAGTATTGCGCGCGTGTGAGGAGGCATATATCGCTCGTGCTTCCGCGCAGCACAGTGTCCAAAGACTTACTGTACAGCCTTGTGAGTTGAAAGGAAGAGCGCCCTCGCAGCGCGGGCACTGTCCTCGGCCGCTTCAGGAAGCGGCCACCTTATAATAGGGAGTGTCGCATGAAGTGTGAGGAGGCATATATATATATATATACTAGAACCATGCGCGCGCTTCGCGCGCGCTTCGGTTCTAGCCAAGCTCAGGGACGGGATTTGCTGTGAAGCTACCATGGAGCAGAACGCCTGAAAAAAAGATATGCACGAGGACATATGGAGTCAACAAGAGGGGGACAGGGGAGAAGGGAATCCTAAGTGTGTTTCTTTGGGGCGTCGGATGGCCGCGGCCGATACTACTTCTAATAGAATGAACGGGTTCGCGCAGAGTGAGGGCGTACAAGGCAAGGCGCACAAGAGGGATGGTGCAGAGCAGGGCTTGGCCATGCGAGGTCCAAGCAATAGCCCACGCGAGGAAGGTGCACGACGCGAGCACCGCTGAGATATCCAAACACTTCGGAGGTGGTGTGGCCCTGCCCCGTGGTGGTCCGGTCGTTTTCGCCTATGACGTTCTCGCAGCTCGGGTTTCCGAGATGCCCTGAGCTGAGGTGAACACTGACCTCTGAGATGCCCTGTCTGATTGTGGTCATTGCTTCTCGCGTGAGTCAGCCCTGCAACTGTGGGTGATGAGATGCACTGAGCTCAGGTGGTCAGGCCACTTCCGCATTAGACATCCTCGCAACTCTCACCTCGAGGATGCTCTGCCCCCTGGTGGTCCGACCGCTTTCGCCTGGGACATCCTCGAAACTCTGGGTTCCGAGAGGCCCTGAGCTGGGGTGGTCAGTCCACTTTCGCCTCAGGCGTCCTCGCAACTCTGACCTAGGAGATACCACGCTCCATGGTGGCTCGGCCATTTTCGCCTGGGACATCCAGGGAACCCTGGATTCCGAGATGCCCTGAGCTGAGGTGGTCAGGACACATTGGCCTGAGATATCCTTGCAACTCTGACCTCATGCCCTGTCCTGTGGTGGTCCAGCCACGTTCGCCTATGACATCCTCGTAAACTGTGGACTCTGACATGTCATGAGCTGAGGTGGTCATGTCACCTCCGCACGACGACGACGACGACGACGACGACGACGACGACGACGACGAACGAACTCGGCGACGACAACTGGCCATCCGGGGTCGTCCTGGAGGCGTCTGGCGCTCCTCATTGAAGCATCTGAACAGTTCGTTCGGATCTCGTGCCAAGTCTCTTGGGGGCCTCCTGGAAGCAGTTCCGAGGCTCTTGGGGCCCGGTTCAGTGCCTGTTGGGGGCCGTTTGGGGGGCTTGTTTTTTCCGCGAGCACTCGAGTATGTTGAGTATGTTACACAGTCACTGCCTCCACCTGGCGACTTGCAGGTCGCACGGACGATCAGTCCGAATGGCGGCCGACATGGCGCCAATCGCCAGCAGGTATTGCTTAAGTGCAGGACAGAAGGAATGAAAGAAGTGAGCCCTCGTTCCTCGCCGCCGCCTCCTCCACCACGCCCTCCTCCTCCTCGAAGCTACGAGCAAGGACTCACTGCTCGTAGCCAGGGAGACGCCACTGGTGAAATCGGCGGCGCCAACTGCGTCAGAAAAGCTGCGGGGCGGGGAGGCGGGCGGGCCCGGGGGCGGAAAGAAGCGGAGGGGCCACGCCAGAAGGGGAGCGGCGGACCCGGGGGAGCACGCAGGCCCAGGGCAGGGCAAGGCGCCACGGAGGCGGCAGCAGCCAGAGCACCAGGAGCTGGCGTCGGGGGCAGCGGCCTGAAAACCAGGCGGAGGGGCAAGACACTGGCAGTGCAGCGTATGTCGCGCGGCCGGCGGAAGCACGGCACAGACCAACGGTGTGCCACAGGCAGAGCCTGAACAAAACCTGCGAAGGCCGACGGACCCCGAGACGAAGCAGGGGCCAGAAACGGCGGCGCAGGGCACCCCAGGCAGGGAGGTGGGGGAGCCCAGAGGCCCCGAGTGTGAGTGTGAGTGTGAGGGTGAGCGTGAGTGTGTGAGTGCGTGAGCGGTTCCCTGTGTTTGGGTTGCTTGGGAGGGACCTTGAATGCTGGCGCACGGTTTGGCGAGTCTCGAGCCTGATGGGCCTAGCTAACTGGTCAAGGTTAGATCTGCAGCGGATGTGCCAACTCACCCAGCCTGGACTCAGAACCACCGCGCAATATCTAAAACCAAATGTTGGGACGATCGTTCCCCATCTGAACATAACATGTGGCCATACAATTTCGGTTGGCTTCAAGCCAATGGAAAAATGCATGCCCCTTCGTGGTACACCGCTTGCGACAATGTCGCAACCGACGCCCTTGCAACTACGAATGTGATGCCCGCGAGATTCTGCCTTTGTATGTACAGGCGCGCTCAGGGTAGACTGGCCGCTGGCCCATTCTCAGGCACTCACCAAACGTGTAACGGGTGTAGCATGGATGGGTCTGAGGGTGAGTGGGTCTGAGTGTGAGTGACGCGGTGAGGGGATAGGGCGAGGAGAAGGAGGCAGACCGAAGGCACCTCGAATGCAGGCGCACGGTTTGGCGAGTCTCGTGTCTGACGGGCCTAGTTAACTGGTCGTCAATGCCAGGTCTGAAGCGGATGTGTCAGCCCAAGCAGTATGAATGCAAAACCACCGCGCAACATATACAATCAGAGATTGGGACTACCGTCCACCATCTGAACGGAGATGCTACCAACACACGATACCTTGGTCCCATTGGCCGTAGGCCGATAGAATTGCGAACGCCCCACCGTGGCAGACCTCTTGCGACAATGCCGCAACCGACGTCCTTGAATATATGAATTCGACGCCCGCGAAAATCTGAAAATTGATTGGGGCGGCGGTCTCATGTCTAGGGGGTCCTCTTGGATTCGGTACTCCTTGTGAAGGGGGATTTCTGGGATTCTCGACTTTTAGGCTGAAGACGGCTCTAATAGGACAAATGACGCCGCGGCTATTTCTGGGACCGTTTCAGCAATCACCGTGTCATTGAAGGGCGCTCTCAGGACTTCAAAAGAAACCGCCACGATAAGCCAAAGTACTCACTAAAAGGAGACAATGCACAAAGCCCGCGATGACCCCCTCCTCCTCATACTGCGTTTCCCCTCTCTTACCCCCCCCCCATCCCCACCTAGCTTGCAATGGAAGCTGCTGCTCAGCTACCACTACTGCTTGAATCCAGAAAGAGAC